CACGACACAGACACTGAGAAAGCAGCCCAGGTTCCTGGAACATCCACACCCGCTTTAATGCCTGAGGTGGCCAGAGGCAGCTCAGAGCAGAGGGATGCGGGATGGCTCCCAGAGGCGCCGGGCCAAGTCGCAGGCCTGCTGGACCACAAGCTCAGAGGGGATGATGCCCAGGTGCACAGTCAGCAGCTCATAGCACTTCACTACTTCTGCCTGGTGGTTCTTGCTGTAATAACGCAGCAACTTCCTGGGGAGGAAAAGAAAGAGGCCTTGGCAGGTAGAGTGCACACAGGCACCCCCTTTCTAACCATCTTCCCTTTAGAAAGTCCTTTGCAAGAACACAGAAGAACCATGGCACCAGGCTGGGGAGGTGGGCTGGTGCAACCCCAGTGACACCACAGCACCAGTATCACCCTGCAGTGACACCCTGGTGAGGATAACATTACTCACAGGGACCCCCATGCCAGCCTAGCTTTGAGCCCCGGTGCCAAACCACAGGGCTGGTGACTGCTCACCTGTAGTAGTCCCCTGCCAGCATCCCAATTGGAGCAGAATCATCAGACAGAACCGGTACCTCTATCACCTCCAGCTTGTAGCCCTGGGGAGAAATGACAGCAGAGGGCAGAAGCAGGCATGGGACTGCCGAGGAGCCAGAGCTGGCTGTGCCTACAGCCCCTCTCCCTGCCCCAGAAGGTGCTGGGGCAGAGGGGCTCAGCCCCTTCCTGGCCCCACGTACCAGCTCATTCTCAAACCAGAGGAAGTAGGAGCAACAGTAGTCGCCATCCTGCAGCATGAGTGTCGTGTAGCCCTTCTGTAGGTATCGCCGGGCCAGTGTGATCAGGGACCAGACCTGGAGGACAAGGGACATCTGAAGCCTGAGCAGAAAATCCTCCAATTACCACCCCCTCTGGTGGTTCCCATGCCACCTCTATCCCCCATGAGCAGTACCTTTCTCTTGATGAAGTTGGCCAGGGGACCCTTGCCGAGCTCTGAGCTGGACTTCTCTGTCACGCTGAGTGATGGTGCCATCATCTGCCCAGCTGTGCGGTCCACATAGATGAAGTGCACCAGGCCAGGAAAGTCCTCTAGGTATGTGGGGTGGGTTAAGGGTGTCCAACAACTTTGGTGCCTTTCCAGGACAGCCCCTGAGCCTCGGGGAAACTGCCTTCACCCACCACGCTCCTCCCCTTGACCCTGGTGCTGGGGGACAGGGTCCCACTCCCACGTCTGCTACCCCCTTGAGGACACCCCCTCTCCCGGCTGTGTTCCCAGCCGCAGAGATGGGTATGACACCATGGTGATATTGCGCCTGCTCTTCACCAGAAGGAAGTCCCGCCAGTCCAGCAGCTTCTCCCTGTCCAGAAGAAGCATGGTGAAGAATCCAGGACCCCCAAGTCCCAGCACAGCTGGTTGTGCAGCAGCTCCTTGGTGATGCTGGCCACCCCATGCACTCACCTCATCAGCTTCTGAGCATGGTCCCGCAGCCCCTGGGACAGGCTGTGGCCAGCAGAGGTCAGGAAGAGCTGGCGGTACACAGAGCAGAGCTGCCGCTTCACGCTGGCCACTGCCTGCAGCAGCCTGAGCCAGGAGACACAGAGAATACTGAGTTTGGACATTGGGTCCCCAGCACTGCAGGGACAGCTGTGCTGGCCCCAGCCTGGAAAAGGCGCCTGCCTGCTTTGCAGACTTTCCCTGGCCGCTCCCTACTCACTCCAAGGAGCTCCCAGGCTCGGTCCGGGAAAATATCTTGTTCTTGAAGTCCAACCAGGTGTTCTGCAACTAAAAAGACAGGACTGTGTCAGGCTGTGGGGACAGCAGGACAGGGTCCTCATGTTCCCACTCCCACCTGGATGTCCTGTCCACTCAGCTTCTTCACAAACTTGTCCATGCGCTGCCGCAGCTCGGCCAGGAACGGGTAGGAGCGTGTGACTCCCGCCTCTGGCCCCTCTTCCAGCTTCTTCTCCAGCACCAAGAACCCATCCAGCAACTGGTATAAGGTGACAGCCACCTGGGTCATGGGGCCCTGCCAGGGAAGGGAGATGTGGGTCAGGCAAGACTCAGTCCAACATCGCCTCCCTGACCTCAGAGGCAGCTCACCTTGGTCAGCAGCACGAGGGAGATGCCTGGCCAGAGTGGCAGGCAGTGCATGGTGTGTGGCAGCAAGGGGCAGTAACCTTCCCGCAGGTTGGCATCCAAGAAGATCCTTCTGGGGTTTGAAGCTTCAGGGACCAGAGGCCCCAAGGTCTGGAGCAAGTCCTCTGCCATCTGGGGAGAAAGAGAAGATGCTCAGCCCCCCCGTGGGTATGAGGTAGCCTGCACCAACCCGGGATGCTCTGTAGGGACATGGCAATGCCCTGAAAGCTGCAACCAGGTATGACAGAACTGAAGGAGCTGAAGGGGCCATGCAACAGAAGATCAGCAGCAAGGGAAGTGCCCAAGAACCCCAAAAGAGCACCAGACAGAAAGACAAAGGTTGCAAATGCCTTAAAGTGAGGCCAATGCTTACTTGCAGTGTGTGAAGTGCTGCAGCATCCATCACAGAAGCAGCCCAGAAAGCCCAGAGGCAGCAGAGGGAGACACTGGACTGCTCTGAGGCAGCCCTGATTTCTCTCTGCTGACAGCTCTGGACAGGGAGACTGTAAGCAACGCCTCAGAGAGGGCACAGTTAGGCACAACATGTGGGACACAGGGTACCCACAGCTGCAGCACAGCAAGAGACGAGTGCCGAAGACTGGAGACCGCAAAGAGCACAAAGAGCATCGGGACAGGCTGTCGAGGTGTGGAGCTGGGAGGCATTGCAGGACTGTGCTCACCTGGACATCTGCAGCTTCTGCCTCCCCAATGCTCAGCATCTCAGCACCCTCTGACCAGCTCTCGCTGCCTGCAGGGAACACAACAGCAGGTCGCCCTTCCCACCAGGCCCCTTCACAGCCCCAGAGCCTCTGTAGGGCTGGGGGCAGGGGGCAGGGCTGCTGCCTAGCTGGGAACTCACCTGTGCTGTGCCTGCCTGGCGAGGGCTCAGGTGTGTAGTAGACCTCGGGCACAGATTGATCATCTGTGTCCTGCCACTGAGAATGGATGTGTCAGCAATGGGAGCAATGCAGGCAGTCCTTCCAGCATACCACCCTACAGCTCCTGATCTCATGGCCTCACCTGGTCATCTGAGTCCTTCTCTGCAGCTCCATGGGAGCCAGGGCCACTCACAGGGATGCTCTCACTTCTCTTGGGTCCCTCGGGGAGAACGTTCCCTGCCATGGGCTTCCAAAAAGAGGGAAAAAAAGTTAAGCCCTGGCTGCCAAGGCATCCCCCCACAGGAGCACCTTGACCTGCTCTGGACCCCAGTCCTGCTCTAGATCACCTGGGGGCTGAGCTCCTCCTCAGCACTCTGGCTGGGGTACAGGTCCTGCACCAGGAGGATGAGGACAAGCAGGTCGGCCGGGCGGATGGAGCTGGCATTGCGGCTGCAGGACAGAGAAGGGAAGGGTCAGCCGAGAGGATAAGTGGTGTCTTTGGGGAGGGCGGTGGGGCCGGGTGTACCTGGAGTAGAAGGCCAGCAGCTTGGTGTGCACCAGAAGGAAGGCATGGCCCACCTCGTCCCCACCACGCTCAGGACTGGCATTGATGTACTGCACCACTTGCCGTTCCAGGAACTCAATGCACTGCTCACACAGTTGAGGGTGGATCAGCCGCTCCACGGCCTGGGGTGCAGGTGGGAAGAAGGCTGCGGAGTTCCCCTAGACCCAGCCTCACAGCCGCAAGGGCAAGTTTGAGCTTCCACTGCTCCAGGGAGTTGCCCCAAAGTCCCCAGCCTAGAGCCTTTCCTCACATCCCGGGACTCTATGCAGCCTCACACCCCTGGAATGCCCCAAAAGTGAGGGACATCCAGGGGCATTGGTACCTCCACTGCAAAGCTCTGGTCCTCCTCCCGCAGGTGGCTGTAGGTCTCCAGAAGGCCCCGCAGCAGGCTCCATACACGCTCCCGCTGCTCTGAGTCAGCTGGCCGCAACCTGCACCGGTCACAGAGTGTGAAGTGAGAGGCAGCTGTCACCTCCTTGTGTGGGACGGACACCACAAAACCCAGCTGCAGCCCAGCAGGCAGGGGGGTCATGCTGAAAAGAGGCGTCCCAGTCCGGAGACACCCACTCCCACCCCTCGGTGCTGCACGAAGGCACCGCGTGGCAGCCACCCCAGAACCCCGGCATGCCAGCCCGTGCCGTGCCCACTCACTCCTTGCGGATGAGGTGTGAGTCGAGCGTGACGAGGCCACAGTGAGCCTCCACCAAGCGCCGCAGCACGAAGAGCGTCCGGCGCAGGTCGTCCTCAGTCTGCGTCCCGTCGCCGTTCACTGCGATGTACAGGCAGTCCCCGAACTGCAACGGGCAGCGCGGTCAGGCGGGGGCCGGCCGGGGGTCCCCGGTCCCCGGTGCCGGTCCTACCGTCTGCAGGACGTGGAGGTGCCGCCCGCCCTCGGTGGCGAAGCAAGTGTAGGTGTCGGCGAGCTTCTCCAGCAGCGCCGCGCAGGAGATGATGAGGGGGGCGAAGAGGGTGTTGAGACTGTCCTCCAGCGCCGGGCCCTGCGCCACACGCTCCCGATCAGCGCCCACGCGCGACCGCGCCCCCCGCGCCCCCTTCCCCGCACCCGTCCCACCCCGTCCCGCCCCACCTGCCCGGCGTGGGGCGACCGCAGCCGGCGGAGGAAGGCGCCATCGGCCCAGTAGAAGAGCAGCTCGGCCGCGGTGCTGGCGATCAGGACACACCGCATGACCGGCGGCGCTGCGGGCACCGGGGGCTCCGGGACCGCGCGGCCCCACCCGCCCCGCGCCGCTTCCTGCTCCGCCGCGCGTGACCGCCGCGCCCACGCGCGCAGCGCCCCCGGTGGCCCGGCGCGGCACTGCAGGGCGGCACCGCTCCCGCCCCGCGGCCGCCCGCTCCCGCCCCGGCTGGGCCCGTCCCGCTCCGGTCTCGGTCCCGGACCCGGCCCGCAGCGGACAGAAGACGCCGGCGCGGTTGACAGCCCAACTTTATTACATCTCCGGTAGTGCCTGGGCGCGTCGCGGCTGCTCCTGCCCACGACACCGCCTCTCTCCTGGGCAGGACACGCTCTCGACCCCCCTCTCCGCTCCGGGACGTATAATTTAATTATCAACATTTCCCGCCGTGGAGCCCGGGCCCGCCCACTCGGGACGGCCCCCGGCGTCCCCTCCCCCGGCCCGCCCCGGCCGGTGCATCCCGCGGCGGGCCAGGCCGGCTGGCGGCATCCTGGCGGCAGTAGAGGGAGCTGCTTCCATGCGCTTGCTGCACCGGAGCACTGCCCGCCTCCGGGGAAGGGGGTCTGGCTGCTGGAAGGGTCACCACCTGGGCAGTGGGACCAGGGGACTCAGGAGGGCGCCTGCCCCACGCTATACCGGGGCTCGGCACCCCAGCCTTCCACGCAGCCAGTGGGCACTAGGTACCGGGTGCTTCTTGCAGCTCACGGGATGGCTGGCAGCAGGCCCTGCAAATTGGCTGTTGCACTGCTCTGGCAGAACGGTGGTCAGGGCACGTGGAGCTCTGTGGTCACAGGGCGGGAGTGGGTGCCAAGGCAGAGGACATCCAGGGTGTGAGGATGAGGGCATGTGTGGTGCCACCCAGCATGGCCCTGTGACAGGGCTGCGTGGGCTGCCAAGGAGGCAGCGTGACCTGGGCAGTGTGCGGGTGCAGGAGCGGGGCTGGCAAGTCTGTTCTGGGCCGCGGGCTATCGGTACCGACAAGCCAGCGCATTCACATTCTTCACCACATAGAAGCTCATGGTCAGCGGGGGGATGACCAGGGTACGGCCGGCCCGCAGAGGGCGAGGCTTCAACTCAGGGAGGGTCCCATCGTCCACCATGGCCAGTGGCTGCCCATTGAGCTGGACCAACCTGTGGGACCAAGAGAGGGTCAGGGCAGTGGCATTCAGGATGGGGCAGTCGTGGCAACCCCAGCCACTGGCATCACACTTACTTGGAGTGGAGCCCGTCCTTGCCATAGGGCTGCAGCAGGTACTGGTGGACGATCTTATCCCGCAGCGTCCCTGCCAGCTTTATTTTCTTCCGGGAGCGATGCAGGTTGATGATGTAAAGGGTGATGGACCCCCGAACGTAGTTGTGGCTGCAAAGGGGAAAATGGGAGGTGAGGGCTGCATTGCCATGTGCCCTGGGAGCATTGCCTCCAAGGGGGTTGGGGACCTCTGCAAGAAGTGGCCTCATGCAGCCATCCGGATGTCACCATCCCAGTTGCCCCTCCACAGGCAGATGCCACCTTTCCATCACAAAGCTTGGCTCTGTCATGACAGCTTTCAACCCCTGCTCCTCAGCCAAGGGTGACAAAACTTAAGAGGGTGCTACAGTGGTGTCCAGAGCAGGGGTGGTGGTCCCAGGACAGCCCCCCCAAACTTGCAAGGAGGAGGCTGAGAACGGAGAGGAACTCTGTGTGTGAGTGGTGTCTGCCCCCGCCACCCCAGGCACCCAACTGACGGGTCCAGACACTGCTCCTCTGTCCCTTCCTAATCAGGCAGTCCCAAACAAAGGCTATAAAGCACTTTGCACCTGTCAGTTACTGGACAAGGTTTCCTACCGAGTTGGAGGCATGTTGAAAGCATCTGGACTGTGTAAAGAAACAGTCTCTCCTCCTCCACAATAGCAACTTGTGTCCGCGGAGGAGGTGGCCGCCCCCCCGGCTCGCTGGGGTGCTTTCAAAGACCTTATCAGCGAAACAATAACCAGGCCAGGCTCCCCGGCAGCGCGGCCCGGCGGGTAACCCGACCGACCGGGGGCCCCTCGTGTGTAATCCACTCCCTTGATCTCTGCTGCCCGGCCTGCCCGGCGGCCACTTCACCGGTCCCGGACGGCCCCGTTCCCAGGCACGGGCTTGCCACGACTTTCATCGGAGGCATCGCCATTCCTGTGCTCCTTCACTTTGACAGCAGCCAGAGCACCACCCAGGTGAATACCCTGGGAAGCCAAGCTGCCTTGCCAGGCTCCTGCCCCAGCGTGTCCTTGTCGGTCTCCATCTCCTGGGGGTACCGCTTATCCCACCCTGTAGCCCACAGTCTCCCTTGCTCCGCTTACTTGTGGTAGCTGGTGCAGTGGGCATAAATCCGGAGCTTGTCGCGAATGACCCTGCCGGGGCGGGGTTTCCTCTGCAGACCGGCCACGTGGATCGCCAGCACCTTGGGACCAATGAGGCGCTTGTAGAGCAGGGACAGCCAGTAATCCTGGGGGGCAGAGGGGACAGTCAGCAGCACAACAGTCCCCCAACTCACAGAGTGAGCTGGCAGGAGAGGCTGGCTTCCCTGCTTGCAACCTAGCAAAATTTTGGCTGTTGGGATGAAAATGTTGTGTGCCAGTTGTCTGCCTTGGGGTGAGCTTTTTTTGTGCAGTCCAAATCATAATGGCATCGCTGTTTCCAGGAAAGAGATTAAGAGAGGAATACATGGATACCCTCTAAAGAAGCTCAGCTTTTGGCTGTGTTGCAGAGCATGGGGAGCAGCATGAGTGCCTTCGCACGTTCCCATGGACCCACATGTAGCCATGCTGTGGACCTGTGCACCAGCTCTAGCTGATCCATGCTGTCTCTGCAGCAGGCTCTTCCCCCACTCTCTACACAGAGCTGGAGCGTAACAGCTTTTCATCTCTGTTTGTGGCACACTGGCTTTTGGGACTGCTGAGGGTGCTCAGCTTCCCAGAGGTATTTTTCCCATTTTAAAGCCTCCCATGGAGCATGGGGAAGCCAAGCACTCAAGAAATAGGAAATGTTCAGACCCTACACACATGTGTAAATGATGCAGCCTTAATTACGTCACCACATACTACTTTTTCCCACAGGGCATGGCCTTGCTCGGCACACAGGATGGACCCCAAGCCCTGGGGAGGGAGGTGAGGCTGTGTGGTGATGGAGGCTGCTGCCGGCAGGGCCCCCCACTCATCCGCTGCAGAGGCTGGGAGGTGTGTGATAAATGAAGCAGGGTTGTGGGAAGGGAAAGGGCAGGCTCAGGCGCTCCCCTGTTGTTCTGCAGGATGGGGCTCTGGCCCCACTGCTGACCCAGGCACACCAGGTGATGCTGGGGAGATGGAGCCTCTCACGCTGCTTCGCTGGGTGCTGCCTGTGAGTGCTGAGGCACTATCACACACATGAGCACTTTGGATAAACCCCCTCTGTCCTAGAGGGACCATATATACCAGGGCAATTGGGATGATCTCCCCTCCCTGTTGGAAATGTCGAACACCCAGCAGCAATAGTCACAGTGGCTCCAGGAGCAGCTCTGCCCATCGGTGTCTGACCTCACTGCACAGTGAGGAGGAAGGGAGCACTGAACAAGCACCCCGTGGCTCTGCACGCTGCCTGGGGAAGTCAAGGAAAGCCCTGTGTGGCCAGAATAGTGCCAGGAAAGGGCCTGCCACCCCAGAGGAGCATGTGGAGGGGGAAATGGGGTCTCCAGGGCCCCAGGATGCAAGGCAGAACAGGCAGGTGGAAGTGCAGATCCCTCGTACAGGTACAGTTATCCATCCTCTGGGTGGAGAACCCTCATACAGCCCCTGATTAACACGCATTTTAGGTGAAGAGGTCAGCAGATAAAACTGAGCAGTGGGGCAGCAGTGACTAGCACCACGCAAAAACCCACTGTCCAGATCGGACTGCCAGCCCCATCCTCTCTCCAGCCCAGCTCAGCAAAAGCTGATCTGTTCCATCAGTGCTTGGCTGGCCTGGCAAAGGAAGATCCAAGCATACCTCCCACTTTCTATGTAAGCTTTTGCCACAATGCTTGAAGAAAAGCCACCTTCTGCTCTCCTCTTGCTGCTCTCAGTCAAAACCATGGGTCTTTGTGCTACACCAGCCTGGTAACTGCTTCCTCTACAAACTCTGGGCCCTGAAGTAGATGTGAGGTTGAAAGGAGAAGCTTGTGTAGCCTGAGGAGGCTCAGCCACAAGGCCATAGCTCCTGGGGAGGATGAGCTGCAGTTGCTCAGTGCCACATACATGTGCTGTCCATAAGGCATATGGTGGGGCTGCTCTGCAGCCTGGGGATGTCCCTGCCTGCACCAAGCTGCAGGGGCTCTGCCAGCCTTCCCCTGCTGTAGGAATCTGTGCTGGCCCATGCTGCCCAGGCTCATGGCAGACAGGAGAAACAGTGCCCGGCACACTGCCAGCTCTCTGGTGAGACACTCTGATTAGTCAGCATCATTAGATGAGTAATTACTTGAATTTACAGCTAGACCAAAGGTGAGCACAGGCTGTAGTGTTTAGTCCCATGGTCATGAGTGAAAAATAAATTAGTTGGTGTCCCGACCTACTTGTCAGCTCAGGTTCTCAGGTCATTCTAGCAGCCCCCTCAGCATTTCCACTGATGAGATGCTGCTTTTACCCACAAGTTATGGGAGTGATAGAGGCCAGACGCTTGGTGTCTGCCCTCAGGATTTCCCTATGGGTCTTGAGTTGTTCTGCAGGGGGCTCTTGATGGTTTTGTCACCATGGGTAACTGGGACAGCAGCTCCATCTGAGCACCTATCCCTCTGGGCTGTGTGGTCCCCAGTGGTTTGCTGCTTCAACATCAGCATCCCTCCACTCTCAAGGCTCAGCAGCAGCAAAGTTTGTAATGTGGGGGTACGGGGAGTTGCCCAGCCCCATAACCTGCCCCCGTTGTTGCCAAATCTCATATCTTTCTGACAAACCCTGCAGAGCTGGGGGTGTTGAGCCCTAGGCTCCTGCCTTGGTGGCTCATGGGCAGGGCTGCACCATTCAGTGTCTCCTGGGCTGGGCACAAGGACAAATGCTTGTCTCTCTGGAAAGTGTTGGCTATGTTTTGTGAGCTTCTGATCCAGCTAAGAGTACACAGCTTTTCTGAGAAAAACCGTGCAGATGCTGTGAGATGGGTAAGGCAGTCATCAGTGATGCAGGGTGAGCTGTTCTGCAAAGTGTGAGATGATCACTGCTGAGCATGCAGCATTTTGGCACAGGCAATGCTCCAGTGTAGTGCAGGGACCGTCCTGTCCTTCCACCATCTGCAAGAGGTGAGGGGAGAGCAGTGATTTTATCTCGCCTTGCTGGCAAGACCAGCTCCAAAGTCTCAGTTTCAAGAAGGATGTGAAAATACCAAAGAGAGTTCAAAGGAGGGTGAGAAAAATGACCCGGGCCTGAAAAAGGAGTCATCAGCACCAGTCTCGAGGCACTTGAACTCTTCAGATCACTGCAGGGAAGCACTGAAGACAGCTGCATCTTTTTGCGTCATCACAAGTCCTCTTGTGTTGGGGGCCAAAATCACGTTACTTGCAATAAATTACCAGGACCTGGTGACACCAAGCACTTGGATGATAAATTACACACACATCTAGCATGATGGAAACAAACCTGCTGGGTGAAGGCACTTCCCCCATCTCGGCTGGTGTCCAGGGCTGCTCCTTCCACTGGCCATGAATGAACTCCAGTCAATATCACACCAGGACTGCTGGGCACCTGCAGCTACTTGCTCCTGTTCAAATGGTGACCAGCTTGGGAAACAGTTGCTCTTGAAACCCAGCTTGGTTGCAAACAGGGTGATTTTTCTGCTTATCAGTGACCTCTTCCTGGGCCCCTGACAGCAGCTAGCACCCACTCCTATGTGGCAAACCCTGTGCAAGCAAGTTCCCCAGGCTGGCAGCACCCACATATGCCTTGCAAAGACACGTGCCTGCCTTCCGGTGTGGAGTCAGACATCCTGTCAGAGGCAGCCCAGGCAACGCCCAGGGAAATGAGTGGCTCCCGTGCAACTGCAGAAAGGATTTGTCTTTTGGAGGGCTCCCATTATGAGGGCTGAGCCAGCAATACAGCTGTAGTGGTAGAGGAGGAATAGCAGACAGGAAGCTGGTTTGCTATTAGTCCCATGGGAATCAAGGGAGCTTTCTTGCTTTAATTACTTTGCAGACCCATTAAGCAGTGCTGCAGATGAGGAGCACCTGAAGGCAGAGCCCTCCTGTGCCCCAAGAGGTCTCCCGTCCTGCCCCTCCCGATTCATGGGCAGGAGGGGCACTTGTCTCAAGTGAGCTCTCAAGTACAGAGTTCAGACCAGCCTCATCTTCTGAGCCCCATGGGGCCAGTGAAGACCTACAAGCTTTCCACTAGACAGGGAAAGCCCAGCGGCTCCCACTTGATCTCTTTGCACATTTTACTTCATTGCAGGAGCTTTTGGAGACTTCAGCTTTTGGAAACAAGGCTGATTAGGCAGACCCTTAGGCAGAACTATTAACCAGACCCTCCCACCTCCAGAGCCATCAGGAGGACTGGAGGAGCGTATTCCCACTCTCTCCTAGAGGCAGCGAAGCAGCTTTACAGCCCACCTGAGTTTGTTCAGCTCTGCGCTCATCACGTGTGAGAAGGCGTTTCCATAATCAGAAAACCAGAGTAACAGAGCCGTGGCCCTTCAATCCACTGGGGGCTGTAACTAGCAAAGGCAGCTGAACTTCAAAGGAGCAAGTTGTGACCCTGTGGTGTACGGCCTCCTCTGGCTGGGGCTGTCGGTGCATGGCTGTATCTCCCTAAGTCACCAGCAGCATCAGCTGCTTACCCTATTCCTCTTCCTCTTGCTTCTTCCATCTTCTGAAGCTGCCCAAGCTCTTCCTCTGTGCCTTGGGCACACTCCAGTTTCAACAGCCTGTGACAGATTGCTCCATTCCTGCACCTTCACCTCCATTTTTCCACAGTCCAAGCAACTGGAAATAAGGGCTGGCTGGTCTGAACATCACAGGAGAGAGCTTTGTTCTTTTATCACTCTGTTGAGCCCAATGTCTTGTTTTTGGCAAAAACACCTTCCAGAAAATGGTGACTGTGGTTGTGAGGATTTGGAGAGATGGAGAAGCTGCCACTTCCCAGGGAGTCTGTTTCAGGTTAAACATCCACATTATTAATAATCCCACTCCTTATTTTAGACTTGAATTTGTCTGGCTTCAGCTTCCAACCAGTGGTTCTTGTTCTCTCTTTTTCCAGTACATTAAAGAGAACCTCAGCATCCAAATCTTTCTCCCTGTGGAGTTCCCTACATCCTGTTCGAACCATAGCAAGTTGCTCCTTCAGCATGGCTGGACTAACGCTGCTTTTAACATTATCCCTGAGTTTTATGTGCTTCTTGGACTGTGGGAGTTCAAGGTTTTCTCACCCAAACCCTGTGCAAGGTCCTGTGACAAGCAGAGGAGGACAGAGCCTCACCCCAAAGGGAACATTTGCTGAAGTCAAAATCATCAGCTTC